GAACTCAAACCAATATTAGAAACGACTTCGGTCCGTGTACTTTCAGGCAATTCGTTTTTTTTTTTTTTTGAGAACCAAAAACGGATACTACTTATGTTTTTCCGTTTTTACTTTTAAGAATCAAAAACGGGAGAAAAAAAAAGCCTTTTCTTCCTTTCCTGTCACCAGAATTAAGAGACGAAAAACTTATTTAAAAAACGGCCACTTTTTGTATTTCACCAATTTCATTTGGCATTTTCTTCTTCAGAGTTGAAAGATGAAGAAGGTTTCACGGCTGGCCCGGAAGTGCAGAACAATATTTCAAAATAAAAGCCTATATACACGCCTAACATAATGCCTCCTTGTCTTTTTATTTTGTTAGATTTTTTTTTTGTTTTGTTTGTGTCGTTCTGTTTTATTGTTGCCTTATAACTATATTTGTGCCTTAAGCCTGTAAGACTTGACTTCATGTATTTACAGACCACGCGATTTTGTTCAAAATGGTTAATAATAATAATAATAAAAAAAAGATATACCCGTAACATAATGCAAACCTGAAGAAAAATTAATGAAGTGTAGAGATGTCTTTGGAATAAAAAAGAGGATCTTTTTACTTTACGACATGATATTTTATTGTACAGACGTGAGCTTTATTACTTTATTGTGTGTTTTATTGTTGGAACATGTAAGACATAGGCTAATCAAATGCTGTAAACCAAAAATATAGAAAGTTTACTTGATGGTGATTTTTTTTTTCATCAGGCAAAATCCACCTTTGCATCTTCCCTCCCAACCTGACCATGCTTCAGTTCTAAAATAAAAAATATGTTGCTAATTAAATAACCAGGTTTACTAACGTGCTCTTATGAAACATATGTGTATTGAATATAACAGCATATGTCACCGATTTAATAAGAGTCCAATCTTTTTTTCCACCACAATGTTTTTATAAAAAACACTTTAAAAAAAAAAAAGAAAAAGTCTAGAAAGCTGTACTTAAAGACATTTACAAAATGACAAAATAAAATCTGTCTAACTCTAAATCAGTTGTGCAGACAAATTCTAGGTTTCTCCTTGCAGGTGGACTGCAACAGTGATGGTTTACCCTTAGCAGGCGCCGAGGGGTGAGCTATCTTTTCCGTATAAACTATCTTTGATGAAGCTTTCGCGTTTCTTCTCCACCTTCATCCTGATGCGCTGCTAAACAATACTTTATGGCCACTCCTTGGTGCGTTCAAATACCCAACCAAGATAGCTAAAAAGGAATGACTTGAAAATGATTTCACTTCAGGTTCAACCTGTTTACTGCTGAACATTGATTTCATCCAATAATATCTGACAGAAACTAAAGTTTACTCATGAGGATATATAAAAGTAACACGAGCAAGCACATAAACGGCAGGCAGAAAACCTCTAATGTGTACAATTTTCCCCCCCACTTCTTTCACTAGTTACTTATTTTATTTGACTTTTCTATCTAGGTGTTTGTTTTTTTCAAAATAGAACTGTAAATATACAGTCATATGTTTATATTACTGTTTTTATATATTTTTTTTTTTACTGTTTTTGAAGGCTTCACAATTGTCTAGAGAGCTGTTAATGAAATGTATTTTTCTTTTACACTTGTGTATACAAAATGACAAACAAATCTGTCTAAGTCTAAGGTTTGAATTTCTAAAAAGAAATATTTTGTATTGACAAATGTTTGGTAAATTTGTGAGTTATTTGGGTACATTTTGGATATCATTATCTATATTTCTGGTCTTTAATTGGGCCAGGTAGAATTATATCACAGCAAAAATTAATAGATAAAAAAATAACAATAAAATCACCTGGAAGTGGCCAAGAATTTAATTTACAAAGTGCTTAAAAGGCATTGGTTTTTTTCACTGTTGTTCCAATAAGTTTAATAGTAAGAACAAAAACATAGACTCCAAAGTTGTAGTTCTTCAAAAAGTCAGAGAAAGAATATCAAGATTTGATGCATTAAAATATCTAATCTTGAAAAGTTTTTTTTCTCTTTTTGGAAATATGAATTAACGCTATAACATTGTTTAAAATTCTAAAAACATGACTTATATTTTGAGATAGTCTTCAACATAAATGGCATATTAACCAGAGAAAAGAGGTTAAACAGGTATAGTATAGCTGTAACCTAAACATTTTTTTATATTCCCCCATGCATTTTTTTCCACTAATTGAAATGCATTTAAATCCAGATTAACATGAATTCAACAAACTGTAGTAAACAGATAAATGGAGGCAGAAGATGTATTTCAGTCATCAATGCACACATTCAGCTACACACAGGAGCTCTTTTAAGCTGGGCACCGTTTCATTCACAACACCTGTCCCATCAACCAGGAATCAGAATCAGAAATACTTTAATAATCCCAGAGAGAAATTACTTTCTTTACATGACTCCATCCATAATTGAGTGACTAAAGGACCAGACTGATATACCATTTTATACAATATATACACTACCGTTCAAAAGTTTGGGGTCATCCAAACAATTTTGTGTTTTCCTGAAAAGTCACACTTATTCACCACCATACGTTGTGAATAGAATGTGAATAGAAAATGGAGTCCAGACATTGACAAGGTTAGAAATAATGATTTGTATTTGAAATAAGATTTTTTTTTTTTTACATCAAACTTTGCTTTCATCAAAGAATCCTCCATTTGCAGCAATTACAGCATTGCAGACCTTTGGCATTCTAGCTGTTAATTTATTGAGGTAATCTGGAGAAATTGCACCCCACACTTCCAGAAGCAGCTTCCACAAGTTGGATTGGTTGGATGGGCACTTCTTGCGTACCATACGGTCAAGCTGCTCCCACAACAGCTCAATGGGGTTCAGATCTGGTGACTGCGCTGGCCACTCCATCACCGATAGAATACCAGCTGCCTGCTTCTGCTCTAATTTGGTGGTGTGTTTAGGGTCATTGTCCTGTTGTAGGATGAAATTGGCTCCAATCAAGCGCTGTCCACTGGGTATGGCATGGGGTTGCAAAATGTATTTATTGCCTTCCTTATTCAGAATCTCTTTTACCCTGTGCAAATCTCCCACCTTACCAGCACCAAAGCAACCCCAGAGCATCACATTACCTCCACCATGCTTAACAGATGGCGTCAGACATTCTTCCAACATCTTTTCATTTGTTCTGCGTCTCACAAACGTTTTTCCTTTTGCCCATCTTAATCGTTTTCTTTTATTGGCCAGCCTCAGATATGGCTTTTTGTTTGCCACTCTTGCCCTGAAGCCCAGAATCCCGCAGCCACCTCTTCACTGTAGATGTTGACACTGGTGTTTTGCGGCTACTATTTAATGAAGATGCCAATTGGGGACCTGTGAGGCGTCCGTTTCTCAAACTAGAGACTCTAATGTACTTATCTTCTTGCTCAGTTGTGCAACGCGGCCTCCCACTTCATTTTCTACTCTGGTTAGAGCCTGTTTGTGCTGTCCTATGAAGGGAGTAGAACAAATCATCAATTTCTTAGCAATTTCTCGCATGGTATAGCCTTACTTTCTAAGAACAAGAATAGACTGTCGAGTTTCAGATGAAAGTTCTCTTTTTCTGGCCATTTTGAGCGTTTAATTGACCCCACAAATGTGATGTTCCAGAAACTCAATCTGCTCAAAGGAAGGTTAATTTTGTTAGCCTCGTGAGACCATCCTGATCTCGCGAGCTTTCAAGATTTCACTCGCTAATCAGTCTGGAGACTCTCCGTTGAAGAAAATTTGGAATTGTTCACCAAACGAACGTCCAATCAGCATTGGCATTGAGGCGGGTTGAGGTGTGACGCAACGAGAAGTGTGACAGTTCAGTCTAAAGAACATGGCGGCTTCAGCCGATGAAACTAGCGTTAGCGTGGCTATCGAGCAAGTTTTATCGAAATTACAGAGTATTTCTTCACTGAAAGAAGAGCAAAACACTGCTCTGGAGGCTTTTCTCAGAGAAAAAAGATGTTTTTGC